GATACAGATATTATTCATCCACCGTTTGTGATGAATATTTTCACAAGATCCAGGGAAGTTGACTGGGAAGTTGTTTTGTGTGTCATGTTGTAATTTACTCCTCCTATATGATAAAGCTTTGGTTTAAAAAAAAAAAAAAAAAATAGGTGGTTAACAACATGCAGCTACTTGATATTCGTAGGTGCTTGTTCCCATTTGACCAGGAGGAGTTGGAGCTGATTTGAAGACAAGAAGAGTAGAGGTCTTTAATTACAACCCTCTCTGTGGCTTCAGGCACCACTGGCCTCACTTCACAATTAAGACCAGCAGTGAGCGCAGAGCCAGTCAACAGAGACGACAACTTTAAGGGGCAGAGGAGAAAAAAAAAAAAGAAGTTTCCACATCAACATCAGGGACAAAGGAAAAAAATCGAGTTACGCACTAAATCTGGTGTCACACATTTGAATCCGGGGGTCATCAAGCATGTGACATGTCTTGTTCTCAAACTCTCCCATCTCTCGAAGTGCGCCGTGATGCTTTATAATACATGACCCCACGATGCGTTCAGATATTGCCAATAGGCCAATGTTAGTTTTCCCACAAGCCCCATTCAACCCCCTCCCCTAATATGTGGCTATGGTGCAGTGGGACTGTACTCCAGTGCTGTAATGGCCTCTGCAACGGTAATGTGTTTGGACAGATGGGAGAGGCAAGTGCTGATGTGCTTAACTACGCATTTTACAGCGAAACTATTAAAGAGTTGTGCTGTTTACACACCAACATTTGAATACCTGTCTTCAGGCCAGTTTAATTATCCGAGCCCTTCTGTTATTTCTGCTGCTTTGTTGTCTCTCAGCTTTTTTGCACGAGGCATGAGAGATTTGTTTGCGGCTTCATTAAGATATGGTGGTGGTGGTAGCGGTTTGCAGGGAGCAAAAAAAAAAAAAAAATTATTCCTGCTCAAGTATCTCATACTCTATTCTCCCAGCCTCCCCCATACATACACAGATACTGTACACACCCATTTTCTTATAAAGTCATTTAAAGTGAGAAAATTAAAAAATGCCCTGTGATGCCTGCCCTTTGAAATCTCTCGGGGCTTTAGGCAAAGGGGAGGGGACACACGCCCCGAGTCCCTGCGATTCATCCTGAGACGTTTGATTAGTTTATAAGTACTTATGGGGGGGGGGAAGGTTTGCATTGTAATTTTGTTTCATGAATTCCTTCATATGTTCATCTTCAACTGCATGTTCAAATAAACCATTAATCAAAAGGAAGAGAGAGAAGAGGGCATTTAGCCAGCAGAGCCATAGTCTCAGGGCCTCAATGAGCTGGTGGATATGGTATTGAGAGACTGTAGGAAGCAGTGGTTTTTAATTATCTGGACTACGTACAGGATGCCGTTTTTGATTGTTTTAATGAGGCAGCTGGCCTATTGTCTCCCCTTAATTCCTCCATTGTTTTTAGAATATGTCATAGTTCTTTATTCTTTTATCAGGTGCTCTGCAGGAGGATTTAGACAATAGCCTTCATTCCAACTGCATTGGCCACTGCACAAAGGCAGCTCACTGCAGACAGTTAGCAGGCAAACAAGTGCAAATCACAAGCTCCACTTTTCCCTGCCTTTCCCCCAGTTTCACGACTTACGCTTCTGGTCTTTCGCTCTAACTCTTGACCCTCCCTCCTCCTTTCCCTCCCTCCCTCGTTCACGCAGATCATGCCTTTGTCATAGGTGGCTCACCTGTGTTCCTGCGATTCGAATCACCTGTCGTCAACGGGCTGTCACAGGGACACAGCCATGACAAATCTTTCGAGAGAGCTCCTTCATGGAATATTGTTTTTGTCCGCGGCCCACCTGATGCCTCTGTGCAGCCGCTTTTCATGTGTGCATGAAAATGACATGCTTGTGCACAGTATTTTGCACATGCATATGTACTTGCATTTGCATGTGGCTGCAGAGTTAATCACATTTATTTGTACGCTTAGGTTTAAGACTCTCAAACGACGTGTGAAACGTGAAATATTCATAATTTCAGAAAACAGTCAAAAACAAAATATATATAATATTCCAAACTGCAGTAAAAACTGAGAGAAACAGTGGTGACTTCTAATTCTGATGACAATTTAAGTGTAGTTTAAACCATAATCCTGCAGCCAGAGCACATGTATCTTACTACTCTGTCTTGGTTGAGTGACTGTAATAAGCAGAGTGCTGCCTCAGTGTTTTGTGTAGCTCAGTAAAACTGGGACATGCAGTCCTAAAACTCACTTCCAGCATTCTCACACACAACAGATGGATCTGCAGCATTCTTGGCTGAAGGGATGCAATCTGAGTGCATATTCTGCTGTCAGAATGCAGTAAAACATTTTCATCAGACTCCACATAATCTGCTTCATTTCAGATGCGGAGAGCATACAGTGTCTTTGATTTGGATTGATCCAAAAAAACACTGATTTGTATCTGAGTGTCAGGGCCTAGTTCATAATTCTCTTTGTAAGCGGAGTGCGTCTGAACTAAGAGATCCATACAGAGGAGAGAAACTTTTGTGGCTATGACTGCGATATATTCCCCGCCATTGTCAGTGGCAGTTTGTATCTACCTTGATGGTAACTTGGGCAGACAGTGGAGGGGAGTTTTGTTATTTTAATTAGGAGATAAAAATTCAAAGGGCCTCTCCAGGCAGTGTGTGGTATGACAGAATCAAAACGATGAAGTGGAGCGGCCTGAAGTGTGTGTCTCGTCACAGCAGATTGGCCGACAGATAGGCACTGCTCTTTAAAGTGGCGCTGACATGCACACTCTCTGGCAGGCACACACACACACACACACACACACACATTTGTGGGGAGGAAGCCTGCACACAAGTGGGACTTTGAAAGATAGCATATTTTAATACCATTTCACTCCTTTGACACGTTTGTGCCGGTCTAATTTTCAGTGCTTCACCAGCAGATAGGAAGGGCTAGAAAGGTTTTAATCAAAACTGTGATGTGAAATCTGAAATATTCAATTTTGAATTGAAATAATGGGGCAATTCATTCTTGAAACTTAACAATGATTTATACATAATACATGCTGTGGTAAGTGTAAAGACATGGTGGCACTGTTTTCCACCCGTGAGTTTTCCACTTCTAATAAATCCCCAGAAAAGTGAATTGTTTTCATACAGAGCTTCACTGGAGCACCTTCACCGCGTCTACAGGGCGGTGTTAAACCTGGTGATTCATAGGTTTTGTGTAAACATGAGTAATCAGTGTTCCACATGTGTGGGAGCTTTCTAGCTCCGTCCCCCTGTCTTCACACCTCTCCTAAGGACTCTCTTTATTCCACATCAGCCAGGGCTCAAATCACATGTCCCCTCTCAGCCTGACACTCCGTCGGTATGTTTGCACATCTTTGAAAGCTAACAGCGTGCTTTAATTAATTGTCCAGCTTTCCTCAGAAACAATGTCCTAATTCTGCCATTTAGCGGGAGTGTATCATAGTTTGTTGTTATCTCCCCAGCCAGATTTCTGTAAATAGTCATATTAAAAACTTTAATCTCTTCAATGGAAAATGAAGTGCAGCTGAAAAGCCTGTCATGTGCTGAGATAAATATTATCTAAGCTAAAACCTTCACTCTACCCCCCCCCTCCACACAAAACCCCCCCGCCTCCCCCCACACCCCCCCCCCCCCCCCCCCCGCTTCCCTTCCTCCTGCCCCCTCCCCCTTTCTCTGACTTAATGAATATGTTCAGAAGATTTCAGAGGAATGCTTAATCCCAAAACACAACAATCTAATAATATGGAGGACCTGTCTCAGTGTTCTAGCTGACAACAGCACTGTAGGCTACAGTTTACCCCAGCTGAGGTTCGCCTTGCTTCTAGATATGAACGTCAGTAGCTTAAAAAGACATTTGAGTGACAGTATAAAGACAGAAATTACCTTTAAAGAGTTCAGCCAAATTACAAACACATATTTTCACATTCACCCGATAGCTGTATAGATTATAGGTTTGACCGTTTTTCTTAGATTTGTCTATGTGAGATTTTCTGTCGCTGATTGCTCATAGCAATAAAAAATCATCCTCAAAAAGTAAAAGAAATAAAAGTGTGTCATTCCAGAAACAGTGTCCTTATAGTGTATATAACCTGCAGACCTCACTGTGAAGAGCTTTCATTGGAACTACAGAAAAAATAGTCCCTATGAAAACTGTTGGAAGCATCCTCTGTCGATTATCCAGAGTACTGTGGGCGCTGAATTTTTGGAAAGAGGTTTCGCTGTTGAATTTTCTAAATGTCATTTTTCAGTTCACCTTCATTGTATCACCATGGCGGCAGAAATCTGAAAAAGTAAATGAGAAAACTAGAGGAGCACTCAGCGGAGCGCAGACCTCCGCCAAGGCCAGTGTCAAACAACACACACCAGACTTCAGAGAGAAAAATTCAAATTCATAGTAAATGATCCAGATTTGCACCAAAATATAATTCTTCTCTGGCCCATGTTCCATCCCTCCGCCAAGTTTGGTGCAAATCGGTTCAGTACTTTTTTCGTAATCCTGCTGACAAGCTAACAAACAAACAAACAAACAAACAAACAAACAAACAAACAAACAAACAGGGTGAAAACATAACCTCCATGGTGGAGGTAATAATGTTCTTTGTCATTTTGGTGAACTGACCCTATGAACTGTTTTCTTGGGGCTTTTAATGTAAAAAATACTGTTGAGCCTTTTTTTTTATTCCTGGGACGATGCAGTATGTAGCATGTGATATTGTTCCATCTCGGAACAATACATTTTTTCACTTTACATCCTACCCAGCATTCTGTTTCGGCTGTATACGGTTATGCAACCCGCCATTGAAACACTGAGACTTTGAGATGTTGTGCATGCCGTTCAAGACGCACACAAATACCATTTCTTTGATTGCATAATGCTCTGACATTTAAGAGTACGGTTGCTCCCGTGTACACGCTGTAAAGCTTTCTCTTCTCTCGCAGCAAGCTTTTAAATGTCTCCTCTATCTCTGTTTTGTCCAGGTGGCCAACTGTGGTGCACCACCACCAAGAACATGATGGAGGGCGAGGAGCTGGTGGCGTTTGCGGTGGACTTTGACTCACGTCTGCAGGCAGTGAACCACATGTCTCTGAGTGAGGGCATGTACCCAGCCAGGCTGCTGGACAGCATCCAGCTCCTGCCGCAGCAGGCCGCAATGGCCTCCATCCTGCCCACTGCCATCGTCAACAGTGAGTGTCCACGCACAAGCGCAAATGCAGGAGCCGGATCAAGGCGTGCTTTTGTTTAGAGACACATGCTGTTGTTCTTTCTCTCTCTCTCTCTCATTCACACACACACACACACACACACCAGTACACAGCCTGCACTCAGTCACCTGCTTAACAAGGAGCGTCGTCTCCGCCGGGCGTAGATTAACCCAGATGAGTCTCCGCACTGGAGATAAGAGCCATCGACCTTCAAGTTTTGGGTTCACATAAACACACTGAGGCTCGAACTAACGTGTTAATTGCAAAATACATGCCTCATGCAAATAGTGTGTTTGTTTACTTAGCGAGGGCTATCTGGGTTCAGCTCAACAGGGAGGCTTCTGTAAGCAGATGGTCCAGTGTTCTTGTTTGCCCTTGAGAAAGGGCACCAACCCAGTGGTAGAAACACAGCGATATGCAGCAGCTGAGGATTTGGTGGAAAAGCCTTTTAACACAGGCTTTGAGAGTCAGAACTGCAGAAGTATAGAAGAGGGAGTATGTGTGTATGCGTGTGTGCACACTCTTTATCTTTAGACTTATGCATAAATATGAAATTACTGTTTGTATCCTGATATCACGTCGCCTTTGTTCCTTTCTGTCTCCCTCCAGAGGACATCTTCCCCTGCAAGGCGTGTGGAATCTGGTTTCGGAGTGAGAGGAACCTGCAGGCCCATCTGATGTACTATTGCAGCGGGCGACAGAGGGAGCCAGAGACGGTAGTGGAGGAGAACGACACCGGACCCCACCAGACCCCCAGTATCTGCCCCTTCCCACAGTGCAACAAGAGCTTCTCTGGAGCGAGGGCCCTGGAAATGCACTTGAGCACCTCACACAGTGGTGAGTGTCAATGTCGTGGATTTTTACCACAACAGATTTAAATTTTTTGTTAAGATTACAGCTCTTTGAGGTGGCTACTTTCAATCAGTTTTTAAAGAAAGAGGGTCTCAGTGTTGTTTTGGAAAATATGACACAGGTTAGGAGAAATGTCTGTCGTTTCTTTTCAGAAATATACATATCCTGCTGTCAGCTATCATAGTTGACAGTTTATCCTTGAGCAAAAAAAAAATCTAGAGGATGGGAATAAGCTTGGCATAATGCATGAGCGTTTGATGGTTTCCACAGTTAACTGTAAAGGAGAAGTGGGAGGCGAGATTCTGAGCATTTCTCCCTTTTATCTCCTTCACAGGTGTCAAAATGGAAGAGAGCCTCCCTCCTGGCACCAGCTTGAAATGCACAATCTGTAACTACACGGCAGATTCTCTTATTACATTCCAGCATCACATCATGTCTCACCTGTCACAGGCGGCCTTCAGATGCAATCACTGCCATATCAGCTTCCAGAGCCACAGGGAACTCTTACAGCATCAGGACTTACATGGGCACGGCAGCAAACTTCACAGGGAAGGCGACGGCAGTGAGCATTCCCCCAGGGGGCCTGAGGAAAGCCTCCAGCAGCAGCAGCAGCAGCAGGCCCGCGCTGAGCTGGCCAACAGGAAGGATGCTCTGCTGGGAAGTCCCAAAGGGGCCCTCAACAAGGAGACCAGCACAGAAGGAGAGGCTGACAAGGCTGAGAAGAAGCCCATGCTGTCGGTTCAGAAGGGAGAGGCGCACCCAGGCAGTAAAGCCAGTTTTTCTTACACAAGGATCAAGTCTGAGCCCTCCAGCCCCCGGCTGGCCTCCTCCCCTGTGCAGCATAACATGCCTACATTTCCCATGGGCCCCTTCTTGTCTCAGTTTGCTTTCTCCCAAGACATTTCAGTAGTCCCGCAGGCTTCTGAGATTCTGGCTAAAATGTCAGAGCTAGTTCACCGGAGGCTGCGCCATGGAGGGAACAGCTACCCCCCTGTCATCTACAGTCCTCTTATGCCCAAAGGGGCCACCTGTTTCGAATGCAATATCACCTTCAGCAACCTGGACAACTATTTGGTCCACAAAAAGCACTACTGTAACAGTCGCTGGCAGCACATGGCAAAGTCTCCTGACTTCTCCGCCCTCTCAGATAAGGTCCCTGAGGCGGTGAGCCCCAACAGTGGTCACAGTTCTGTTAGCATGTTGGCCAGCTGCCACCCTACGGAGGCCGACAGCCACCTCATGCAGTCTGCCTGTCTGAACTCCAATGTGTTGGACATGATCAATGCGGGGGCTAAAGGGCCTGATAAGGATCTACCAGGACAGGTGAAGAAGGTCTCTACCCCGACCGGGGCTGAGGAGAGGCTGAATGGGAAGCAGATGGAGGGGAAAAGCCCCAGTACGGGTTTAGTTGAAAGTGACAACGATCCGACCAAGACAACCTGCGATGCCTGCAATATCACCTTCAGTCGTCATGAGACCTACATGGTCCACAAGCAGTACTACTGCGCCACTCGTCATGATCCCCCCATGAAACGTATGTCCACCAACAAGGTGCCCTCCATGCAGAGAACCATGAGGACCCGTAAGCGCAGGAAGATGTATGAGATGTGTCTCCCTGACCAGGACCACCAGAGGCCCCCTATGGGTCAGCCGGGCTTCCTCGGAGTCCCTCCCATGAACCCTTGCACATCCCAGGAAGCCGTTGAGAGCCTGGCGGACCGCTTCCACCCCCGCTGTGACATCTTCCCAGGTATGGTACCCAAACACCTGGAGGCCTCTCTGACTGTCACTAAACCAATTCTGGCTCCTAAATGCAATACTGTGGAGCAGCAGGAGCTGGACGCCCCCATTGATCTCAGCAAAAAGTGTTCGCCAGTCCCTGACAAGACATGTAGCTCTCCTAAAAGACTGTTGGACTATCACGAATGTGCAGTGTGCAAGATAAGTTTTAACAAAGTGGAGAACTACCTGGCGCACAAACAGAACTTTTGCCCTGCAACAGCCGCCGCCGCCGCCGCCGCCGCTGCTGCTCAGCAACAACAACAACAGCCACAGCAGCAGCAACAACACAATGAGACTGGCAGCCTGGAGCCAAGCATGTTCCCAGATGTGAAGAGTGAAGGCAATAACAACCCTGATGATGTCTACGATAAGAGCCCAGGCAAATGTGAGAAGAATGGCAATGGGAAGGTTATGGTGCAGAATGGAGGCATGTTCCCCCCTCACCTGGGGCCTGTGCCGGCACTCAAGCCATTTGCTGAGCCCCAGCTCATCCCATCAAAAGATGAGAACAAGAATATGTTTCTGCCCCACTGCCTTTATCCTGGAGCAATAAAGAAGGTGAAAGGTCCTGAGCAAATATCGCCGTATTTTGGGATAAAGCCAACCGATTATGTGACTGGGGGACCAGTGATGCAGGGAGAGGCCAGCGAACAAGAGCAGAGCGTTAATGGGGGAGGAGGAGGTGCAGGTGGAGGAGGAGGAGAGACAGGAACAACCAGAGAGCAGGCCCAGCAGCCTGCCGCTAATGGCTGCCCCCACCCTGGCAAGGAGCCCCTTCCCTTACTGCCCAAAAACCGGGGCATGGTCATCGTCAACGGGGGGCACAAGCCCGAGGAGCGTTCAGGCACAGCTCCACCGCAGCAGGAGAACCAGCCCCAGCCAGACGGCCAGCCCCCCAATCCCTCACCTACGTGGGCCACTGAGAACCAGGCCGACTCCAATGAGAACATGTCGCCTTCCTCCAAGTCCCCAATCGAGGAGGCGGCACCCACAGCCAATAAAGGCGTGAACGGCTCTGGAAGTGGCAAGTACTGCCGCCTCTGTGATATCCAGTTCAACAACCTGTCAAACTTTATTACCCATAAGAAGTTTTACTGTTCATCACATGCTGCAGAGCATGTAAAATAAGTTAGAAGAATAAGACATGTTCTTCTCCTCCCTCCCACACCTCCCCTCCCTCCCCACCCCCCAACTTTTAACCCTTTTTTCTCCTTTGTTTTGGTACACTGTTGTGTCTGGAATAGTGCATCACGCAGTGCTAAACGCTGCTTGTGGACAATCAAGAGAAGCTTCTTCTTTCATCGTTTTAACACTTAAAAATGCAAAACCATTGGTTAAAAAAGAAAAAGAAAAAGAAAAATGAATCAAGAATAATATTGGTGCCACTTTCACATTAATTTATTTTACAATCAGTATTAATAGGAGTAGTGATCTTAATTTAAATTCAAAATGAAATTTATATCAGAGTTGTTTGTAATGTTATTGTATAGTCATTCTTGTGTAGCACACATATTGTTTACACTGTAATGTAGGCTCAATGAAACAATAGACAATACAAAAATGAGATGCATTTTAGACACAAAAATAGCTACTGAGGCACTTGTGTATTCTTATTTGCTGTACCAGTTTCTGTATATGCCCAAAATGTCACTTGCAGATTGCTACTAATGACTTGTTAGCCTTAAAAAATCACCATTTGGGTGTGATAACCAGGCACAACCCTGCATCTCACATTTTGGCATATACACATGGCTTTGCATACATATGTGGCTGTTTGTCCCTGTCTCTTTTCTTCAACTCAGATGTGGATGTTTTCATGAGGATGGCGGCATTCTTGTATAGTACTCGTATTTCTGTTATGATACTTTGGTCTCCCTTTTTGCAATTTGCTCTCAATGCAATACTTTGTAAATGGGGGAACATTACTGAAAGCAGTATTATGAAATGGGGACTGTGCATATAATTATTTGTAACCCCATAGGGAAAAAAAGAAGTTGTACAAGAATTAAGTTTATTGCTGATGAACAAGATGGGTGGGAGGTCAGTGGGGATACTGATGTAAAATGATCATTCCAATGTCCTGATTATGGGAGAAAATGTTTCTTAAAACGTTGTTGCTATGCATGTATATGGATGGAATTAAATTCCAGATCTGTTGGAAATTTTTATTTTGATGTGGTGTCATAATTAAACTTAAATCCTCAGGATAAACCAATGCTGTCTGGTCTTTCTTTCACAGTGCTGCATATATCCATAAATAAACAGCTCGTGTTTGCCACAGTTAAAAGTAGACACAAAGGTAAATAAAGATTTATTTACAAAAACGCAAAATTAGGTTTGTCAGCCAGACTCATCCATCTGCAATGTAGAAAATTAATCAGATCAACATAAATCCAAAAATAGAGCTCTACGTCTGATTGTGATGTAACTCAATTATATGCAAGTAACAAATGACTGTAGCTGATGCAGCAGACACACAGGAACTCAGTGTACCTTTGCCTGCGGCTATAACATGGCAGAATATTAAGACAGAAATGGATGAGATAAAAAAAAAAAAAAAAAAAGTATCAGGTTGAGCAGTGACATGTGTGGCCTTTTACAGTGATAAGCAGTAATGTATTAATTTTTGGCACTGGCCAATCAGGTAAAGAGACTGAAATAACAACTTGAAAGATAAGATTTTCTGAATCGAAGACAGCAAATATTTCATCACACTGAATACCCTCCAGTTACCTTCAATTAAAAAGCTTCCAATGAAGCGGAGCTGCGCAAAAACCTGCTCTCAAATTGACTCCTTGATGAACCTTAGCAGCCATGTAGACAATCTCTGCAGATCGCTGCAGGGAAAGGTAAAAAGATAACTTGAATATTTTATTGAATATTTAAAACATATTCAACTGTTATTCTGTCCAGGTCTGGGGTACGGTTACATTTTGGCCATGGGTCACTCGCTCTGCTGTTTGGCTTGTCGCTGGTTGACTAGCCTCCTCAGGTGCTGGCTGATGGCAGATGGCTTCTTGTAGATCATTCGCCGGTCTGCTCCTTTTATGTGAATGTGATTGGCTGATGGGTAGGATTCCTCCAGGAACTTCTTTTGAAGCTTCGCTACCATCTGGTGTGGGGAAAAGATGATTTACTATGGGCTTTCCACAACAGTTATTACAGTATTGTTTAGTCACTGTACAGGACTTTGAGTCGCACAGCTAGAGGAAACACTCTCACCTGGTTCAGGTGTGGTGGTATCTGCTCGTCAAAGGAATCTCCAGTGATCACACTCACTGACACCCTGCTGGAGAGGGGCTTAAACTTTGTGATGTCCCTTTAAAAACAACAAAAAAATGTAAATATGCATTGTGTGTAATATTTCAATGTTCATTCTGACATGAAAACAGCAAAACTGTTCATAAATAACCATGAAAAAAGGCTTTCTATGTATGTTTTTCATACCTTACTTGAGCTGCACTTTCATTCAGAAAGTAATGCTCATCCACCGCACTGCTTTGGTGGGCAGGGTTACTGAGCAGGTATTTCTGTAAGGGACAGAGATGCAGAAAATGAATCTAAAATGAATGAATGAATTTGTTTTTACTGTGTGTGTCACACACCCGAAGGCTTACAAGACACAAGGCGAGACAAAACAAAAAGAAAGCAGGCCAATACACGGTGCTGAAGACGCGTAAATGTGCTGATGGTGAGTTATGTCAAACGTCTTGTATGTACACGGTTTATTAAGTGTTTCTTCTGACCATTTCTCTGTATAATTTTTAAATAGCAGAGACTTGAAGTAGCTCACACTACAAGGCAACTTAGTCCTAAATATATACTGTCAACCACATGTAGAGAGTAATTCAAAACACTGTTATTTGAGAGATCTGAGAGCTATTTGAGTATTTCTAATACAAAATTAGCTCAGTAAGTCTACTGGCAGGCAGGTTAATGAATCGATTCTTCAGTCACAGCAGGTCAGCCTTTTACCTAACTTCACACAGCTCCCATCACCACATACTGACAGTTTATGCACACCCAAAAAAACACTGCTTAACTGCTGTCATAGATGTGTTTTGCTCTTGATCACTCTTTGTTTGTCCGCAACCTCAGATCCCTGTAGCATCATCCAAAATCATACAGACACACTATTCTAACAGTTGGGTGTGATTACTGTGACCAAGATCTGTACAAGCTCTAACCTGACTTTGCACAGCCCTGAGACAGAACTGCTAACATCTTCCAATGCAAAGAAAGATATAAGTCTCTAACCTCTTAAATCCATCCCAAAATTAACATTTGAGATGGGAAAAAATGAACTACAGCTACAGCAAGACAATTTGAATGCAGTGAAGTCAGTGTCCGGCTCATTCAGTGAAGAAGCTCCAGGCAGAAACACATCACAATATCACATCTGAAATCTCAGTCTTGGTTCTCTGATTCTGCAGCTCGGGGCGGGGAAAGTTCACCACGCTACCAGAATAGATGTGAATTCTCAAACTGAGCAGATTTCCCCTTTAACTGTATCTATCACCCACATGTGATGAAACCAAATAGCTTCGGTGCCGTTAACATAGCAGCAAACAATTCTGCTCCAGTTCAATTAAGCAGTGGTTACAGAACATGCCCTTGAGAAATGGACTGCATGCTCTATTGAGTTCGGCGAGCTCATGTGTGTGCGTGTGTGTGTGTGTGTGTGTGTGTGTGTGTGTGTGTGCATGCGTGCGTGTGTGTGTGTGTGTGTGTGTGTGTGCGTGCGTGCGTGCATGCATGTACGTTATAACCTTCACTAGCCTGTCTACAAAACCTTTCTCTGTCCTTGGAGAATTCAAGCACAATGATGTCCTTATCTCCTTGGCAACAACTGTAATACTTGAAAAGCTGAAATAGGTCCCTCATCACTACTGCCATCAAATCGTGGGTGGCTGGCAGCAGAGAACAAGGCGTCTTAACGAACTGCTCGCATTCATCTAACGCAAGCAGGCATCATCGCATCACACAGACAGCTGCAGGAAAAACATTTAATGCTGAATGGATGTTAGAAATGTCACGGAGCGTTCACAGAGGGCCACTAAAGCGTAAGTTGTTTTCTCTGAACAAAAATAAAATAAGAGGAACCGAAGTAGGACTGTATGGTTTTAAATGGCTCCAAAATTACTTTCCCTGCAATTATCTCTTTGTCCTTTTCCCTACATGAACGTTCCAACACTTAAACAAGGTGTCAGTCGATCAAGAGCACTTCCCCATGTTACAAAACATATTGGCTGTTGTTCATCACCAGAATCCATTACTCCCTCTTCTGCCTGGGATGTTTTCCACTGCAAGTAAAAAAAAAATGACTACAGGCCTTTAAGACAGGCAGAAGTGTATGTTGTTGTTTTTTGTTGTTTTTTTTTTTTTTAAAGATTCACAGCAGATCTGAGCAGCGAAAAATATAAACCCTCCCCTGTAGAAAAAAAAAAAAAACTCATCTGCAATACACAGCAAAAAGCTTGTAGCTTATATTAACAGCCTTTCCCTCACAAACTGTATAACCTGTCAAAAGGCTGAGTTTTACAATATAGAAGGCATCGAAAGATACAGTGCAGTTGCGGCGTCATGTCGGCTCCAGGAATGGGTTCAATTTTCATTTATTTAAAAATGATGTCTGGTGTCATATCATGGCAAATTCACACAGTCTCTGACCATATGAAGACAAACGCTCCCGCAATCACCATCCGCTCATATCTCTGCTGAGGAGGAGGCGTGATTATTCTTGCACTAGCACCATCCTGTGGTTGTAGAGGAAAAATGGGAGATGTGCATTGAAATGTACTTTCCCTCCATATTTCTAATTATTTTTTTAAAGAAATTCAGCAGAGGAACGGAGCCAAAAGTCTTGTCTTCAGACTATATAAATCTAAACACCTGAGGTATGATAGCAGCTTTTACTGATAACGTTTATCTCTAAATCACCTCTGAATTATTCTTCACCTGCTGTGTCACGTTCAGCACGACACAACATAAACATAAATGATTTCTGCAGCTTTTTTCTTTCTTTCTTTTTTAAAGAATCAATCTCACAACCTTCATTGTAATCTCTGTGTGTGTGCGTGTGTGTGCGTGTGTGTGCATTAGCCTGACCTGGCGTTGGACCACCTCCTCTGAGACGTTTTCGCCTTTGATAGTTGGTTCAATCACCCCCAGGATAATCAGCATGCGGCTCAGCCCTGTAGCTGCTGAAAACTGTCTGGCCTGGAATGACGGCAACAGCTTACCATACCTGAACACACACACACACACACACACACATAGACACACACACGTATATATACCCATAAAACTTTAGCAGGGGACAAACTTAAATTTACTTAAATTAACCCTCTGAACTTCTGTTTTTAAAGTTGCATCGCTTCACATTTTGACCCTGTGGCAGAACAAGCTAAAAGCAACACTGACATATTATGGCGTTAGCCGTTCTAACAAATAATTTTTTATTTACAAATCCAGCTGGCATGGAGATTACATTAATTAGTAAGCATTCATTTGGAGTCAAGTTTCTGTCAACCTGATGAGTTTAAGTACAACATCCACTCTCCTATTAGCTCTATTGTTTGTCTTAATGAGCTCCTCAAGGAGAATATTTAGCTCTTTAGCTAAATGCCTCATGTTCACCATCTAGTCACTGGCTTTGTTTGTCTGTAGCACAACAACTAACTACTTACAGTCAGTGCATCAGAGCTTTCTGACTGAAAACAGACACCACAGCTGAAGAGTGGTTGACCTTAAATCCAAAACAGTTTGAAGATGTTAAAAGGACAAAAGAGGGAAACCGCAGAATGGGATGATCATTTTCTGTAGGTTCACCAGTACCAGCGACCCCCGTCAACTCACACCAGTCATTTCATCAACTGTTACCCATCAATCGAATCAAATAACACCGATGCCAGTGAGTCGCTGTCATTGGTTTCCCAACAGTCAAACATCATGTTAGTCTTCATTTTTGCTGCTTAACAACATGCTAAAGTTCAGAATGGTGCCAATCCAGCAAGAGTGATTTTATGATTACAATAGTGATTCGAGCAGAGTCATACATGATATTTGCCTTCCTCAAGTCTTTTTCAACCCAGAATCTCAAACTTTCTCTTCAACAACATTTGCCTGGGGAATGAGAAATACTCTTTTTTGGCAGACGAAAGACGAGGAGCTGTGGGATTTTGTAACTCAGGAGGCCCAATCGGTCTCGGCTCACTGGTGCTCTGAATTGGCTGGTCTCAGCCTGTGGAGCCCAATCAATAGTGCCGCGTGCCTGCTGCCGCCATCGCCGTGCCGCGAAGCCTGCCCCTACATGCAGCCAACACACTGTAGATCAGCCCCTCTGCACCAGGAGACGCTCATCCCTGCTTTAGTCTTACTCCTGATCTGGGCCAGACTAATAACACCGTGTCCCTGTGTCCCATCACTTCCTCTCTGCTATATTCAACACTACAGTAAATTACAGTGCCCGATCAATAACTAGGCAACATCTCTTTATATGCTATAGCTCTACTAACGTAAGCTTAATGGGGATGCAACTAATGCTTATCTTCACTAGTGATTATTTGGTTGATTATTTTACTAAATAATTGATTAACAGTCTATAAAATGACAGACAATAATGAAAAAGACCCATAATTCCACAGTCCAACAGTACAAAACCCCTGAATAATCCATTTATAATTATATTAAAAACGAAAACAGGGGAATTCTCACATTTAAGAAGCCTGTTTGGCATTCTTTTAAAATCATGGTAGGGCTCCACTGACGTCAATGTCAGCCTGTTGTTTCATCCACTGCTCTGGTACAAAATACCTCAATATACTGTACCTCCTCTGTTGCCCAGGGGATAAATCCTACTGACCCTAGTGATCCCTTCACTTTACTTATAGCACCACCATCAGTTTGACATTTGTGCTTTCCATTGAAATGTCCATTTAGTTAAATTTGGTGATTTCATCTACTATTTTAATTTGTCCAGTACCTGGGTTTATGACCAAATACCTGCAAAACCAACAGCATTCCCATCAGCCTCAGCTGTACTTAGTATTTAAAAGTTGTTGGCACAACATAGCACAATATGCTTAGCCCACATAGTGAACGTGGTGAACATTACTTGCTCAACATCAGCATGTTTCCATTGCTCCTTTCCATTTTTCCATGCTTATGTTAGCATTTAACTCAGGCCATTTAGCTTCTGTTTAAGCAGTAAAACGGACTAATACTGTACACGAGCTGAGCAGTGCTATAATCCAAACCAGCAGCATTTGCCAGTATAAACTGTCTTTTACAACAGGTAGGCTTCAACAGCGCCGCTTCACTGCCATTGTATTGCTCGTATCAAAGCTACATCATAAACATGCACTTTTCATGTGTAAAATAACCCATTTCACCCATTGTTGTTGTTGTCATCGTGTGTCGCCGCCCAAAGAACTGTAGCTTAAGAAATATCAAGCGCTGCTCCCGTAAAGCATGGCAGCACTGATTGGTCAGATAAAGCTGATAGAAACAGCAGAGAGTGGTTGTTCGGCTGCAACAAACGGCTGTGTAAGATAACTTATCTGCCATATTCACGGTACAAGAAACAGTCCCTACAGGTCAATAATGGATATAGGCAGAGGTGGGGAAAGAAACAAGCCGACTGCTCTAATTTTCAGTCTTCAGCAGACAGAGGAAACTTTTCAAATCAGACCTCCAGAGAGTGACATTTTGACATTTTCATCTTCCTTGCCACAGTTTTCCCCTGAAGTCATTCTGGCACCACAATTTAGAACTGACTCTTTGACCTGGCTCTTGAGGGACTTCTCAGTCTCTGCACATTTTCCACCTGTCACCCTTTCCTTACCCCTTGATTCCAAAAATAAAGGGAAAAAAAAACTCTCCGTATCAGCCACCCGCCACCCCCCCCAAGTTTGAATCTGGTCAAATCATTCCTGGGTCTGGCATTGAACATTATTTCAAGGATTCTCCAGCCACCTGTCCTATTCCCTCCTCTTTTTTCCATTTTTAATTCTGCCCCGGAGTGAGGATTATGCGAAGCAAGGCATGCGTGTCAAAGGGAAATTTAGTGGGTAAAGACAGCCAAGATTGGCGGGATGAATTAAACAGATAACGGGAGGAGACGAAGTGGGGGAACCATGTAGAGCAAAACGCCTCACCGATGTTGGTCATTTCAGAGGGGCTCTTTTTTTTTTTCTCCCCACAGGAGCGAGGAGGCAATATCTAAATTAATAAAGTGATGAAATGAGTTTGTGCCGTGGACTTTCTGCTGTTTGACTTTCCCATCTGGATTAGTGCAGGCTGAATGGACGCTCTGTTACTTTTGTTACAACTGCGCAATTCACTGTCGGAATTTGGCCCTGTAGTGATAAGGCTCCCCTCCTCCTCCTCATTACCATCTCATTTCATATGCAGGGCCTCTGTTACCTGAGAGCCTGCTCACACACAAAACACGAACTATTACACGAGCTTCTGCCAACTATTACAATGAGCAGAGAACATTTAAACATGGACTATTACACGAGGCTCAACTAACTATTACGCCAAAGGAACATTCTTTTTTTTTTTTCCTTTTTTTTTTAAACTGCAAAGACTTTCAGACTATTACAAAAATGGGGGCATATGGACGTGGACAGGTGCATGATGAGGCCTCTGACTCTCATGCAGGCAGGACATCAGGATTCATCACAGCTAAAAGTCTAACTAAATGGTTATTCAACAAAATTATAATCATAACAAACTATAGTAAAACACACTCTTGGGACTCTTTATTAAACATATTAGCAAGGTGATGTATTATATTATTGTGCTTTGATCTGCCAGGATTTCAGTTTTCTGCCCTTCATCTTGGGCCTTCCTCAATCTCACTTGGTCCTGGTTCCATGGACCCGCAACCTACTTGCGCACATTTCAGTCATCGTACAGACTGACATGCGCATGTGCACTCTCCCTGTGAGCTGGTGGTTTGTTTTATTGTGCAATAAAAGAAAAGACAAATGTAATGAATAAACTGCATTTTAAAAAAATAAACTTTTAAGTGTTTACTTTTATTCTATGTAACTGCAGCTCCAAGCCTGACATGACAACAGTAAGACCGGTCACAAGTGAGCATATGTTGTTATTTTTCTGGACTAATGCTGACTGTGTGTTAATGTGGTCATGTTTGCTATCTGTCGTCACATCCTATCAAATTAACGTGTGCATCTTCTGCAGTGTTCGCTCCGGTCACTGTTGCTCTTGTTTATGCGGTGGGGAGGTTTCTGTTTCTGTTTTTAAAGGATGAGACAATCAGGACAAAATGATTTTAAAATGACCATGATGTCCAATCTGAGCAACTGACCAGTCAACACTGCGCTTTAACAGAGTTACTGTGTGGAGTAACATGCTTGGAGTAGTTGATGATAATACATAGGTATTTATTGTGTTGATTTGCTACCAGTATGATGTTGCCTTTTCACCTGCAGTGACGGACTACAATGGAGACAAGTCTTTAGAACTCTTCATAATGTCCACTAAACTAAACTACACTTAAGACTTCCTGTCAGCATGAACTGCTATTCACACAGAAGGTGAAGATACTTCTAACACGATTTGGCGCACAGTCACTATTAGGCCTTTTCCACTACACTACTTAACAGAACCTGGGCGTTCCTAGAACTTGAACCTCTAAGAACATGAGTGTAGGTTCTGCCTTGCTACTGTGCTTAGCAAACCAGGAGCTTTTTGATATATTTCATTAAAAGGCAACACCTCATCATCATTACCCCGTGCAGCTGTGGGACAGACAGCGATGGAAACAGTGACGCTAATATAGATTTTCATCCATCACATTCACATATGATGACAGGAAAGCCCCACCCACAGCTAATATACAGTATTTTTTATACTGAAAAACATTTTAAAAAGGTTAAATACACAAATTTAAACAACTGCTCTAGTTTTCAGTATTCCATAGAGTTTTTATGTAGGCTTTATCTATGACAGTAAAACACACTGTTACAAACAAGATAAAACTAACTCTTACGTTTCAGCCAAAACAATTAATAGTACAGTTATACACTAACGTAGTGTATGGCATCACATTTTGCTCATTTCAAGCACAAAAATGAAACGTCTTACAAGAGAAAAAGAAAATTCAAACAAGTAAAATGAATCATCCTTAAACTGTGCATTCAAATGGACAACTATTATTGTGTATACACCTTCATTATTGATAGTCTGTTTAAATGTTTGATTTTTATATTGTAC